CATAATCGAATAAAATAATTCGAAGTGGTCTGTATTCTGTCGAAACTGCCAGGCGTGGATCGCGATTTCGATCTTTTTGGATCTCATCAGCGCGTCGCAGACAGCTCTGACGTTGAGGTTAGCTACGCCGGGATTCGTTTCAGCAAGTAGATATCCATATATTTAAATGGACCTTGTTGGAGGATACATAATCCTAAAATGTAGCATCGTACTACAGATGGCGTTTACCTCGCCATTTGTAGTATTTTCCTAAACGCGCTGTTAAGACAGCAGGTAAAAGTTGGTCTGTGTTCTGTCGGAGCTGTCTGCGACGCGCTGATGAGATCCAAAAAGATCGAAATCGCGATCCGCGTGTGGCAGTTTCGACAGAATACAGACCACTTCGAATTATTTTATTCAAGCTGATTCATAGATTACTTACTGGTGTATATTGAATAACAGCCATGTCTGAGTATTCTTCAGTTGAAGAAGTAGAACCGTTTGTAATATTTAATTGGCCTGAACCTAGATCTGATTCATTTAAATAATTTAACTCCAACTGAAGTGGGGGTTGTTCGTAGTCTACCTGAAAAGTTGTTACAAAAAACTACAAACATTTACATTATCTACGTCTGCTTACATTACATGCTTTCTTTTTATGTTAAAATAATGCAAGAAAACAAATTTAGGTAGAAATAGGCACTTTGAGTTACGAGTTGAGTCAGGTTTTATATGATCAAGCTTGTCAGAACCTTTTTTAATAAAATTATGCTTTCCTTTTGATGTTAAACAGTGGTGCTTCTGTTTCACTAGCCCAAATTTATTAAAATGTCAGTCAAAATAGTTGACGTTCTCCACTTCGCATCTTGTAGAAGTAATAGCAATTTTGTTACTACTTACTGAGTTTGAGTATCAGATAAAACCCTTTTACGACAAAATATTTGGAACTGTATGTTATAGATATGTTTCTTATTGTAATTGTAATAATTAATATTTTAAAATGAAGATTGTTGCTCACCAAGGTGACCACAGCGCATGTTGATATTAGAACTACAGAAATCAACAAAATACTGAGTCTAATTCCAGAACTGTTTGAAACGATTAGGCCTGGGGCTATGTAAGTTTCTGACGAATCTGTGGGAGTCTCTGAGACAAGCCTCTGACCATTACATCCTCTCAGCCAGCATAAATAAGTAAACGCAAGAAGCACCATCAGTGTAGGACCAAAAGTGCCCCACAGTATTATTGTTCTGTAAAGACAATTTAACCGTAAACTTTCGGTTTTATTTATGCATTTGTATTTATACATCTAAATATACAGTATGCGAAAATGCGGATCTTCGTTTAAACGACTAAACCGATTTCAATGAAATTCATGAATAGGAGGTTGTCAAAAACGATCTGGGCTAATTTTTCTTTAATTGTTCGTAGGTTACAATAATTTTATTTATTATAAACAATTAGGAATAGTTTTACGCGGACCATCTTGCGGGCCAAATCTATTTTTTTGTGTGATGATCCAAAAATTGTTACTTCCAAATATTGAATAGATTCCACCTTTATTTGATGACGATCCATATCACAATAAAGTAAGCCTTTTTGGATTTTCACAAACTTTATCAACAACTAACAGACTTTGAGTATAGTAGTCCAATTACATTCTATTTAAATTTTGGACGAGTTTGACTTAAAACGAATAGAAAAACAAGTTCCAAGAAAAACAATATTTTGATGTAACATTTTACGAATTTCCAAAATTAGTTCAAAATTCGTCTGTATTTTCTCTACAATTCGTATATTCCAGTTAGTATTTGATAAGTAAGTATGGTAGATTTTGTTTTCTCCTTTGAAATGACTGCAATGTGAGTCTGTAATATTTTATTGATTTTGTTCTTCCTTCTAAAAGTTATGAGGTAAATAAATATTTATGAGTCCTAAGAATTACTTTTCATTTCACATTTTACTGTAATACATAAAACTGCAGCTCAATTTCTCAATGATGAGAAAGGTGAAAATCTTGTTTTGAAGAGGCAATCATTAAAGTACACGTACCAAAAGAAACATTTGATTAATAAAATTATTAAATGAATAGATCAGTAAGGTGTGGTTCAAACCTTATTGGCGTTTAAAATTAATATTTTCTNCTGATTCGTGTTTGAGTATTTATATAAATTAATTTCATCTATCAATTACATTCTTTTTGTTTTATATTCACAGCCGTATGTTTTATATATTTACCACACATGATCCATAAGAATTTACTCACTCATTTCATAAATATATAAATCTAGTTTCATCTCAGTTACGTAAAAAAATATTTAGAACATTTTGTGAGATTGTGTGACATACTGTAATTATTCCTTACTTTGCTTTCGATCTACAGTGTGGTCAGAATATTTACCGAATTTTCGTTTCCATTGTAATTACAACAATAGCATTTATATTTTGAATATTTATTTATCATCGAATGGTGTTTTAACGAAATATGTGGTCAATGTGCCCTTTCCTTTTACATATATAGGGCCCCTACATTCACACGAATAACCAGCATTCATTAAAATTTTAGCTGTGTCTTCTGTCACCTGGATCCTGCCGATAATTCCGCATGAGTCCATCCTTGAAGCAACATTAACTGTATTGCCCCATATATCATATTGAGGCTTTTGAGCTCCCACAACCCCTGCAATCACTGGACCGTGATTTAAACCTAAACAAAATTAATCTTTGTATCCAAAAGGCAAAAGAAAAACTATCGAACACGAAATAAAAGTACATAAATTAACGATTTGAAGTTGAATAAGTTATTTGTTTTTTATTTTGTCTACCAACATTTAGGGGCGGCGGATTGGGTGGTGATGAGGTGACTCATCGAGGAAAGTGTGACTCAAATAATAACTAAATTAATTTGTAGCCTTGTAATATTGGCATTTTTACCGAATTATTTAAACATAAATTAGAATTTTGATTCCATAGGGTGTTGCATTCACCACCCAACGTATTTCTTAAGTTCACCACCCAAGTGCTGGGAGGATAATGACTGGTAAATCTAATTCAACGATCACCAAATAATAAATCAATTAATTTATTTTTGATCAACAACAAGTAACTATCCAAGAACCTGGAATGGTATTTTTAGCAAATCATTTAAGAATAAACGAGAACTTGTTTCAATCGGGTGGGGCATTCACCACCCAACGTATTTCCCAAATTCACCGCCCAAGTGCGAGGAGGATAATAGCTGGGGGAAAGCTAACTCAAGGATCTCCAAATAATAAATCAATTAATTTATTAAGAACAAAAGTAACTATTTAATAACCTACATTGGTATTTTCACCAAATTATTTAAACTTAAATGAGAAATTTGGTTTCGTATGTTGGCACATTCACCTTCCAATATGTTTCTCAAGTTTAGCACATAAGATCGGGGAGGGTGGTGGTTGCCACAGCCGGACTGAAGATTTTGGCCCGGGGTGCGATGTAACCAAATGGTCTGGTTTAGAAGGGGAAGTGCACAAATTTTAACAGCACTCGTTTTTAAATAAATTTAAGAAGTTGTGAGGAAATTTGCGTTTTTCTTTGCCTCGGTCTTTGCTCTTGTTTTAAAAATTTATTAAGATTTTTTTAATTTCTCTTTTTTTTCATTTTTTTTGAGTTAGTCCGGCCCTGATCGTTGTATGAACACAACAAATAAGTCGCTGCTGCTGTTGAGCATACGTTACGTTGTATCGGCTGGCTCACCCTAGCAAATGATCGAACAGAGTAGCAAATGCATCTGCTGTAAACCACGTAGGTTTTCGTAGGTGGTGGCATATAGTCGACATTCGGCGGCGAAGTTTTATATGACGCCATTGCCGCTTGGGTGTGGCTGAGCTCCGTCAGTAAATGAAAATACGGGTACCACAAGTGAACCCTTCAAAACACGAGTCTTGTAATATTTCACTAGTAGGTATTCTATTGCAACTATTACTTGCAGAAATTAAATTCAGTCAACTAAAAATACAAGATGTGTAACGTGTTGTATTGATTGACGAAAACGGGAAATACGATGACATTAAAATTCATTATTGTCTATCAGTCTTTAATTGATAGGTCGCTAGGGACCGTTCTAATTATTACTAGTTATTAACAGATAATTATTTAAAATGGTAAATTCCACAAAGTGTATTAAAGGATTAGCATTTTTGGCATTGTAGGCGCATATGTAATCTTTTTACGTTGTCAAAAGTCAGCTACATACAATTATAAAAGGGCAGCATCATCTTTTGAAAAATACAAGGTGGTACAGGAAATTTCTTACAAATACCTTCAGCAATCTCTTCCTATAAGTAAATAAAAAACTAAATAATAAATAAGTTCAATAAATTCTTGAAAAATTCTATGTAGTTGGCCTTTACTGTATGAAAGTTGATCCTATTGATTATTTTTCTTTTGAAATAAAACACGTGAAAAATAACTTTCACCAAATATATTTATATTGAATCTTGACAAATTCGTTTTAACCTACAAGGTCATCTTCGGAAGAAGGTTTTATTTCAAAAGTTCAATAAACCCAATTTAAAGCTAAGAAAAGTGCCTACAACAAAAAATGTGTAATTATTACAATCTTAGAAAGTTCATGCGAAAATTAGAAAAACTTGAAAAAAGCAAATATAAATATTATCTTACCCCTGAACCTATACTAGGTGTATATATCCTAAGACTGGTTGGACACGCACCTCCACTCCTTCCTATTCTAAGCTAATCTTCGCATTTTTCTAAAGCTAGAACATCCCACATCCTAAACTATTATATACGGTAATCTAATCTAGGTCTACCTCTATCCCTCCTAACTCCCGTTTCTGCCTGTAATATATCTCTGACTAGACCTTCATGCTTGAGATGATGTCCTACTAACCTATCTCGCCTATTTCTTATTGACATCCCTGACCTAGACCATAAAGAAAAAAAGTAACACAAAC